GTAAAATAATAAATATTCTTTATTAGAACTTTAACAGTAGAACCTCTGTAAGCCGAACTTCGAGTTTTTAAATCTTTTTGTGACGCAGAGTCGGCAGATTATCCATGTTGCAAAATAATACCGTGTGTAGCAGTCTTAAGAAAAATAACACGTACAGCCATGCTTTCACGTCAGTCACTGCCGGCGGACAGTGACGCACTAGCTAATTGGTTGAATGCATCCCCGCCCCGCGTCCCCCAAACCATCAGGAGGGCCAAGCTTACGGCGGTTTAACTATAGCCGGCTGTTTTGCTTAATTCAACCAAATATCAGGATATCTCTAAACAGAGGTAAGCATGTCCTACAGTCTCTAAAGCTAGTAATAATTAATTTTCCTGCAGAAAATTCCAATGATTTTCGACTCAGAATCATAGTCTGAATACACTATTTCAGTATTCGTTACGATGTCCCTTACACCCTGTATAAAACCTCTATCTTTCTAGGTCGGTTCAGAAAAAACAAATTCGTAAAACCGCACTCTTAGTAATGTTACCTTTATTTATTTAAATTAATATTTCCTATTATTTAGTATCGCAATGACTAATATTTATATGACTATTAAATTGACGTCAATCTAAATAGGAAAAATATATTCGAAAGGCCAAAATGAGAATAATAATACATACAAACAAATACATACATAAACAATGTATCCAAAATTATGTCAAGCACTGAATAGCTGGATGGAAACGCTTGGATGCAACGCCCTATTTGTTGCATTCTTATCTCAAACTTGTAATGTAGCGGCATGAATCATAATATCTAGGCGGCCTAACAATGATCTCGATTGACGAGACGCGCCGCCGGTTTCTAAGATCTCACCATTCTTGATACCGAGACATTACTGACCGGACATAAATCGAAACTTGTTATGGACTTGCTGTTTCGTTATTTACATTTGCCTCCATCAGATAATGCCATCTTATAAGGTTACGCGGTTTCATTAGTTCAATTGTCTTAATTTATCTGAATTTGGACTCTTCTTGGCATTAACGCATTCATAACCTCCTCAAATCTTAATATATATATAAGCAAAGTCGGGTTAGTTACACCATTTAAAACTCAAGAACGGTTGCACCTATTTTTATGTATTTTTATTAAATTTGTCTCTGCCCTAAATAGTAGAACAAATTAAAATTAAGCATTTTAAAAATTTACGAAAATAAAATTATGAATTCATATTGTTGTGTGTAATGTCATATTTCAATACAATTGTGTATATTATGAAGAAAAATAAAGATGGCGTTGTATACTAGTTAAATTTAAATACAGATAAGTTAACACAACATTTAACAGTTCTGAAGAGAGACGAAGTTTGCCGGGATAGCTTTTTTTTGTTGACGGGGTGGAAAATCCCTTCGGATCCTCTTTCGGACCATATTATTTCAGGTCCTCCCCGAATTGTAACCATGCCTAATCTGGCCCCATCAAAGGGGAAAAACACCTCTCCCCCTCAATCGCGGTGGTGGTGGTGGCCCAATTGCGTCGTAATACAATCAGGCCGCCCTTCTATCCCCTACCGCAGCGGTCAATCTGCCACCAGAGGTCCCCATTCTCTAGCGGCCCCCGACCCCATCGGCGGCTGGTATCATCACCGACGTCCTCTACGATCAGGATCGGCCCTCTCCTGACCCCGTTCAGCGGTTTCTTTCTGGAGCATTTCAGCTTCACAGAAAGAGACCACTGCGCCCCATCATTCCTCACCCGAAAGCATAGCAGCAATCATTGCTGACGGGGATAGGTCTCGTCGACAGAACATTTCATTTCATTTCATTACCTGCGTCAGTCGGCGGTGACGCAACCTTACTCCCTATCTACCCAAGTTTCGAGGTCGTCCTGGTCTTCCCCGCTCTCACCCTGGGGATCCCGCGAGTCTGGTCATAGACCCTCGCGTCCATATCCGCCAGAATATCAAAGGGCAGGAAACTTGCCAGGACTGTCGCCGTCTCCGACTTGCCGAGACAGCTAGTTTATAATACTTTATAATACATACACATAATACAAGACTGTTATAAGACATTCTGGGATGTTTGCTTGTTAGCCAAATTGGTAAAAAAATCGCTACGAGTGTTTTAAATAGACAGACTAGTACTTGTAAGCCCAAACCTATAAAAACCAAAATGGCTTTGTTTCACGGTTATTCCTTTAAACTGTCACTTACAATTTTGGGAAGATCACGTGCAGAGACCAAGAAGATTGCGCGTTTTGGTTACCTGGTGATAAACATTGGATTTTGCTGAGAAAATTTGGTTTATTTAATTTTTCTCGTAGAGGTTTGCTCTAGTTTTGGTACGTTTATATGAAGAAGAGTAGCTAATGTAAAAGCGAAGTCTTCTATCAAAGCTATATAGTGACTATATTTGCTCTAGCTTAATAATTCACTAATGTGAATTTTGGAAAAAATAGATATGATCAATTAGTACTGACGTCTATTAATAAATGGCTACGGATTAGTATGCCATTCTTTACAAGTCAACAACATCATAGTTTTTCTGAAGCCATTTTATATGTAAAACTGGTTGCTTGCACTTCTTCTAAATATAAACTTTATTTACTCTAATTTTCTGTCTGCGTTTTTGCTTAAAATGCATGCTATTCTCACACATTCATTTGTAGTTGTCCACGCATATCCATATTAAAAAAAAAGATTTAGTTTATTGAAGTTTCGAAAGGGAACTGATCTGATCCAATTCGTGACCCATACCCAATTACGAAAACAAGATCAGGAGCGATGAAAACCGCTGAATGGCATCAGCATCAACAAAGAAGCACCGGCAGAAAAGCACAATCAGTGGGCAAAAAAGTTTGGCTGAAATGTACTGAAAAAAAAAAACTAAAACATTTAATTAAAATTATTGTTTATAATAACTAAACAATTTTTAAAGTGTTTGCTAAAACCAATAATGACTGGATTTATCAATACTGGACTGAATACTATCAGGATACCGGGACTTGGGATTTCTGGATCGAATCCTCTAATAATATATAAGCTATAATTGTGGCCATAGTCGATTTTTTTTTCTCTTCAGTTTTGTGACAGTCGTTCGAACGACTGTCAAACTGTTGGAACGAATGTGACATGAGATCATGATCTCACCTGAGAACCAACAGTTAAAACATATTATGTTAGTTCATCTACATCCTCTTAGTAGTAGGTACCAACATAAATAATTACATTAATTTAGAATATGCGGTTTTACTAACGTTTGTATTTTGGGTAGTTTAATATTGGACTCAACGGGAGCCTTTTCACAAGGGATAAACAGTCACACCCCATCAATAAGTCAAAAGTGGTAAGCTTACGACCCCCAAAATACAGATGTCTGGTAAACTGTATACTAAATATATAAAATCCATATAGACTGGAAAATCAATTGGTTTTTAATGTACTTACGGCTTTATATTAAAAAAAAAAACAATAAATAAACTGGCATTGACTATAATAATATGTTACAAAATTATATTTATATGATTAGTACTTCGCTTGAAATGAACGCCCCCACTATTAACCTAGAAAAAACGACATGCTAATCTAATGTGGGTTATCTGTTGAACACATTACATTTCATTATACAATATACCAACCGACACTACAAATATTAATTAAATGATCAATTTGTAGATTGACAACCCTAGTTAGTTGTTGTGAGTCCCTGGCGAGCGAAGTAACAACAAACCTACTATCATACGTCAGTAAAAGCATCAACTCTGAGAGGTTCACTACTTAGCTCAGTTAGTGTGTGATCAAACATTGTGATGGCGACACGTGGACGCCGTGAATTGTATTTATCGTGATAAATATGAAGTTACTTTATTGTTGAAATATGTATATAGGTAACTTGTGTGTCTATTCATTGTGCATTGCTCGCAACCGTGTTATTAATTCAAAAACCTTGATCTCGCGACAGAGGGCGAAATTACGTAATTGTGAATTGTGATGGATGTACGACGCGTCACTATGAAGCCTGCCAGAAAATGTGATAAAATAACTAAAATTAAACACAAGTTGATTAAAAGACACAAATTATGTAGGTAGTTACATTACCTGTTTAATTTCTTTTGAACATTATCGTGTTAAATACTATAACTTAGGGTTTTCAACTATTTTGAGTCTCATGTTAGACTATTTGGTCGAGTTTACAAAACCTGGTCGCAGCCGACTCCCACACACTTCTTCAAGGCCTCTGATCCAATAATTCAGCGTTTCGACTTACGGCGATAATACAGCTTCGACAGGATGTTTGAAACGAATACATTTCTAGTGGATTTCTCAGTTCGTACGTTGCCTTTTTCACGCCGCATTAAGCTTTGGATAATTGGTGATTCGCTGTGAATTGATAGTAACAAAAAACTATATTTCGCATTATTCTACATTTAATATTATACTGTTAACTAGTTATGTAGCTATGTTTAAGGTTACAGATCAAAAACCGGTAGTGGAAGTTAATTTCTTATAAAAAGCATTTTTTTGTTATCATTTACTGATGAAACATCACCAATTAGTCAAGGTTAACCAAATGTTTACACGACAATAGAGCTACTTAGCTTCTAACTTGCTAAGATGTACGACGCTTGTCAATAAGTTATTCTGAAAAATCCCACATTGGTACTAGTAAATTATGTTTTAAAGTTACTAAGAAACGTAAATAGTTTCATTACTGTAACAACTCTCCGTGACATGTGAACAAGACACTTGAAACTTAAAACAAATACATTGCAGTTTAATTTGCAGTCATTGCTTTAAATTATGTTGGCAATTGCAGTTCTATGAAGCTATTTACCGTTGACGTGTCACTTCGGACTATTCCCTCTTGACCATTTTCAAGTGATTAAACGAAACATTGTAAGTGGATGTAGTAGGTGTACAAAATTAACAGCTTTGTATATTTAAAGCTTGCGCCAGTAAAATTCTTTGTAAATTCTGTAGTTGTCTAAATAGTTTAATGATTATGTTTGTACAGATGAGCACCGGACTGCGGGTGGCAGTTGGGAGGAGCCAGTGAGCGCCGTGCGGAACACCCCGCTCAGGCGTTCGCAGAGGCTCAACTCGACCCTGGACTCTAGGTAAACAATGATTATTTACTACTAGCATTGGCCCGCGTATCCGCTCGCGCGATTGTCGATTCTCGCTGTAAACAGTAGCCTATGTTTTAAGTATTGGCACCGCTCTTGAGCGCTGACCTTCACCTGCGCAGAAGTCGATTTTTGGGTCCCTTTTGAGGTATGAATTAGGACGGGGAGCAATTAAATCATAACGTCAGCCAGTGATTGGCTCACCGATATTGTCGCTGCTCCTGATTCGTTTTCTCGTACTTAAGTACGACGAGTACACTTCCGAGAAAATTAATAGGGTCTTTCTTTTTTTAATTAATTATTTAATCATTTCTACTTTCGTTATTCATCAATTTAATTTTCTGGTAGTCACAAATTGAGATTTTTATGCGAGTGTATTAGATTCTCTAATATGAATCTATAACACAATACAACGATGAAGAAATCGACACCGTACCTTTTTTAGGGTTCCGTACCTCAAAAGGTAAAAAAAAGGAACCCTTATAAGATCACTCTCTTGTCCGTCTGTCCGTGTATCACCACCAATTTTCTCAGGAACGGGTAGGCCTAGCAAGTAGAAATTTATACCAGATACTGAGGTCTATGGTCCCTATTAGTTGAATAAAAATCAAGGTCCTGAGTCAACACGATAAAAGAAATGGGCATATTTCGATTCTCGCGAAAACTTGTAAGTACCAAAATTTACCTTAATTTTCAACTTTTTTATTTTTCAGAATTTTTTCCTTACTTGTGCTTGACCTTCCTTTTAACCAAAATTGGTATGTTGGTTCGTAATATAGGTTTTGGGTTGAAAACCTATATGGTAGTTCCCGTTGACCTAGAATCACGAAATTTGGCAAAAAAATTCTTCTTACGGCACAAATAAAGGAATAATGCCAAAAAATAAAAAAAGTTGAAAATTAAGATAAATTTTGGTACTTACAAATTTTCGTGAATATCTACGTAAAATCTGGGTAGGTACGGAACCCTCGGCGCACGAGTTCGACTCTTACCTGATCGGTTTTTTTTTTACGTGTAGAAACCCCCTGGGGCCGTCACTCCACCGGGGTATGCGGCGGGTGGTGTGTCGGAATCGGACCGACTAAAACCACACGGTGTGCTACTCGGCCCTTGTAATAGGAGGGATCCGGGAACTGCTGTTATTAAGACATCCGGACCCCACCTAGCACCTGCCCGCAACGGCGCGGGCACCACCTTGGGGTTCATTCTCTATTTAGGCGACGTCCGGCACACGCGGAAGTCGCTGGTCGTTATGGCAGGTGGAGGGGAAAACCCGTCCCGGTCACCCGCGGACACACTTGCGAGATGACATCTTCGCAGAAGGATGCGACCATGGTGAAACATATGTCACTACCGGCCATAGAGCGTATGACGACCGGTAGCCAGAGATCCCTTCTGCTGACTGACCCTGACAATTAAGACCCAGCGCTGCGGCGCCCAAGCCGGGCAAAATGGACACCGTACCAGTACCAGCTTTAAATAAGAAAGAGATTTGATGGAAATAAAAAAATATATTATAAATGGGTGCATTTTATTTTGCCATAAGAGCGCGATGCGCAAAGCGATCCCCTCTCTGCCGCCAAGCGCTCAATATCCGTGCCGGTAACTATTCTCGCTAAAATGTAGCTTTCTATTTTTAAAATCGGTTAAGTGGTTTAGACGTGACAACGTAACATCCAAATAAACAAACAAGCTCACTTTTACATTTATGAATAACTTTTCAAAATTACTGAATTATCATTATCTATTGCTGATTTTTTATTGTAAAGGTATTGCATACATTCTAAGATTCTACTTATTCACATAGTACTTTCTCATATAACCAAAACTTCATTGAAAAGAAGGCCCTAAAATAATCAGCACTAAAATATTTGTAACTTCGATTTCGTATAGCAGAAAGTTGTTAAGAAGAGCTACACTTCATTCAATTGTTTACTGCTTTGAAACATCCATACTCATATTATAAATGCGAAAGGGTGTCTGTCTGTTACTCTTCAAACCGTTTTATATGAAATTAGGTATAGAAATAGTCGAGTCCCGGGACATAGGATAGATTGTATCCCAGCATCCTTTAAGGGGGTGGAAGATTGTAATCTTCAAATCTATTTGTAACATACTCGTGTATTAATTGCTTGAAAACCAAGACTTCGGTCTCCTTACAATAAACTTGTCGACTCAACTTTTATACACTCGGTTCCAAAAATTACGGGTCAGTCACAAAAATTGAAATACCTCCAGAACTGTAAAAGTTAGATCAATGAAAAAAAAACAGAATAAAGACTTTTTAGTTGCGCTTCTAATAGCATATTATTTAAACTGGTTGATGAAAAAAACTTCATTAGAAAAACAAAATTTAAAAAAATGACTATTTTTAAAAACAAAATTTTTGTTTCATTTCATTATAGATGCTTTCCATTTCTATTCTGTCACAAAAAAAAATATCGTGAACGTCTTCCACGTGCATAATTATTATTCTGTGAGGTGACTGAACTGGACACTAGACGATTTGTCTAGGGTAATGTTCACGGACGAGTCTAAATTCATGCTTTATAAGCATGATGATAGGCAGTTGGTGTACAGAAGACCAGGGGAGCGCTTCCATCAAGCGTGTGTGGAGGAAAAAGTGGCGTACGGTGGAGGCTCTGTACAAGTTTGGGCTGGGATTTCTACTGAGGCCCGCACCGAGCTGGTACTCATTCAAAATGAAACTCTAAATGCAGAGAGGTACGTGGAAGAGATCCTCAATGAACATGTAGGTCCTTTCATGGCCAGGATGGACCGGCATGGCATATTAATGCATGATAATGCGCGTCCCCATACCGCCAGAATTGTACATGACTACCTTGAAGAGGTCGGTATCGAACTCATGCAGTGGCCAGCGCGTAGCCCGGACTTAAACCCCATCGAGCACGCCTGGGACGAGCTTCAGAGATGCGTGAAAGGTCGAAACCCCCCACCAATCACGCTTCCCGAGCTCAAACAAGCACTGGTGGAGGAATGGGAAGGTATTCCTTAGCACCGGCTCCGAAATTTGGTGTAGAGCATGCCTAATCGCCTGGAAGCTGTCAGAAGAGCTCGTGGAGGCAATACAATGTATTAAATGAAGAAAGTGATGAAAAACAGCAAAAAAACAATCATAAAAAAATGTAATCTTAAGAAAAATATGACTACTTTAGTTTTATTTTTTATTTTAGAGATAAGTTAAGAGTTAGAGAGTTTAGATTTAAGTTTTATTTTATTTTTTATCTGTATAATTAAATTCTCAATTGAACAGTCTTCGTTTCATTAGGATGGCATACGTAGTTCGGGAGATATTCGGGTTTATGTGACTGACCCGTTATTTTTGGAACCGAGTTTAGATAGCTTCTTGGTTTGGTAGAACTATGTGTTATTGTTTTCATAATTTTTTCATGGAAGGTTATAGTTGCGCGGAAGTCGTCAAACTCACACCTCGACTGAGAGCAAGGGTCATATTGTTGCGTTGTACGAATTAACAGCGTTGTTTTACAACGATAGTGTTCTTGGTAACAATTATATACCGTATAAATATTGAAACATTACATTGATTGTGGAACTACTAGGTATTTTAGGATAACGGTCGTCTGTCACTACTACGATTAAATTCTCTTGTATTTATCGAGGTTTAAGTTTAGTTTATTTTTTAATAAATAAAGTAAAGCATAATTCAAAGACCACATAGTACAGTTCTCATTAGTAAAGGTTGCAGTCACTTAAAATATAGCAATACTAAAAAGGAAATTTATTATAATGCATTTATTCAGGAGCATTACTTAAATTTACTGTCATAAATGTAAGTAAGACGGTGCAATAAAATACAGAAAGCCGTTACGTCGATGTCAGAACAAAGTGTGATTGATAGTGGTTCCAGAATTAGAACCAATTCTCGCCTTTTAGGAGGGTGTTTAAACTCATGTATTTGTAGGCAATATATCTCTTAAAACGGCTGCTTAAATGATTGTTTGAAGTTACGTTTAGCGATTATTTTCATATTTACAATAGTTAAAAAGGTTTTTAACACGCTTTTATTAGCTTGGTCTGTGTGTTTGTATGCACACACTTTTTAACCATTAAATTATTTTTCATTTGAACTTATAGAAAATTATTTCCTACTCTTAGTTCGGCTAGCTACAAAAGTTTAGCCTCACAGGTATCTGTGCCGTGACGGATTAAGAATACACTCTGTATTCTTAATCCGTCACCACCCCTCTTCATCCCGTTGGTATCGTAAGAGCCGAGTAAGGGAGTAAACTACGCACTGCAAAGAGAAGGAAAACTTGAACAAATCCTAAACAACAGACAGGTCGCCGTTTGAGACACCTGCAATTCAAGTGACAAGTGCAGTATCACCCTTTGAGTTCCTAGAATCAGTGAATCAATGACGTGAAAAGCAACTGAAAATTAGCTTAACACCGATTTTCTGTGAGGGCGTGGTATCATCCCGGTCGAATCGGCCTATTTGTGCCCATACTCCCAAGATTATATTATAAAAGATTAGTTTAAAATAAAGTCGACAACTGTATTTTTAAGATTGCGAGTATCTATAAACGCGGTAATATATTAATAGAAACTGGTGAAAAGTATCTTCACTACGGTACCAAGGCCAGAGGCTGCGTAGTAAGGATACTCCTCAGTACGCAGCCTTTATTAGCATCAAATCAAATATCCCTAAAATATTATATGTACATAGGCTAGGCATGGGAACATACTGTTAGCCGAAAAAAGTACCTAAAACTTTTCAAACAATGAAAACAATTTGCCACTCACTCCCGCATGCGACTTCCTGTCGCGGAGCAGTGTGGTCCAGGCCCGCTGAACAATTAGCGAGCGCGGAGCGTCGAGCCAATTAACACAAATTTCCTGTGTTCAAACTCCAGAGGCCAACCGAGGGCACTGCCTCCCGACAAAATTATCGTTCACGCTTAAACGGATACCGTCTATTGTCGTTCAAGATTCACTGATTCGCGTAATGT